ACCTCAGCGGCACAGCACCTGCCTGGCAAGCACAAGGTCGTGAGTTCGATTCCCGGTACCAGAAAAAAAAAACCATGCTATTTCTCAGAAGTCTTAATAATTTCCCATTGCCTGTAGGATAGACCTCCAAATTCTTGGTCTTGAAGGTTTTAACAATAAAAATTAGTCTTGTGATTGTTCTGTTAACTTCCTACCAACATTTTTTTATATCATCAACCTACTTTTTTAAAATTTCCTTTCTCAGGGGCTGGGGATTTAGCTCAGCGGCAAAAGCGCCTGCCTGGCAAGCGCAAGGTCGTGAGTTCGGTTCCCGGTACCGGAGAAAAACCAAAAAAAAAAAAAAAAAATTTCCTTTCTCTTCTTTGTCAAAATCTTAGATATCTCTTACAGGATCCAATTCCATTCCTTTTCTTTCAAGAACACTTCCCTCAGAAGACTTAGGGTTAAGTCTGTGGTAGAGCACTTCCCTAGAAGGCACGGGCAGAGGGTTTGATCCCTCACCACAAAAACAAAGAAAAAGAAAAAGGAAGAAAGGAAGGGAGAGAAGGGAAAGGGAGGGGTGAGCTGGGGAAGGGAGGGAAGGAAGAAGGAAGGACATTTTTCTAAATCATCAGAGACTAGGAATTATTCTGCTTTTAAAACAACACATTGTTGAGTCAAACCTGGTGGTGCATGCCTGTAATGCCAACACTCTGGGAGGATGAGACAGAAAGATTGCGAGTTTGACCCAGCCTTGGCAACTTAGTACCTTAGTGAGACTCTGTCTCAAAAAATAAAAAAAAGGCTGGGGATGTAGCTCAATAAGTAGGTCCTAGTTTCAATTCCCAGTCCAAAAAATATTGTCATAACATTCAAACAGTTTATATAAAGCACACAGTAATTCTTACTCAAAATTTCATTAAGATTTCCAGTTGGGTTTCAACCTACAACATCCTATGAGAATAGAGACTTCTTTTCAGTCACTGCTATGTCCCTAGAGTCTAGAACTGTTTCAGACATGCAAAATATTTGTTAATCAGTACTCTTATTTTGCACAATATCTGGATGACACCTTCTTATATAAAGGATCCTTGACAATGATTATTTAATTTCCTAGCTCCTTACAGATAGACACATGAATAAGAAAAATTACTTTTTTAAGAAGGTGTGAGAAAATGGGATGAGTTTCTATAAGAACAAGAACAAAAGCAAAGCTTTAAAGTTACTTCAGGCAAACTTCTGCAATCCATACTCTGTATAAATCATTATTATTCTGTTTTTATACTTGTTCTGAAGAACACAAATAAACGATCAATCTCACCTATCAGCCTGTGATTAAGAAGTGCTTTGTTCCTGCTAACAGTTACCTAGGAATGCACTGCATATTATGGGGTGAGCTGTGTTCCCCCCAAATTGATGTGCTGAAGTCCTGATCCCTAGCACTTGGAAGGCGACCTTACCTAGAAGTAGGGTCACTGCAAATATACTTAGTAAACACGAGGTCACACTGGAGCAAGGCGGGCTCAGATCCAGCATGACTGGTGTCCTCACAGAGAGGGAAGCATAGGCACAGATGTGCACATAGGGAGGGCCCGTGTGAAGGCAAAAGCAGAGACCAGCAGGCTGCCTGTGTGAGCCAAGGAAAGCCAAAGACCCCGGCACACAAGCAGAAGCTGGGAAAAGGCACAAATTCTTCCTCACAGTCTCGAGAAGAAAGCAAGCCTGCCAATGACAGTGTCTGATATTTCAGATTCTTAGGTCCCGGCACATTGCTATAGCAGCCTTAGATGACTATTATGCTCAGAAAGGCTGCCCCGTAGCCTAATGCGAAGCTCTTTGTGAAGCCAGTACATGGTGGCTTATGGAGAACTCTGCTTGCGGTCCTCCTTACCTTTGGTTCTTGAGCTTAACACAAGATATCTAGACTAGCTTTTGAATCTGTGATTTCCTCACCCTTCTTTGATGTCTTTCATGCAGAATTATGACGCTTGCAGCAAATAAAAAGTAGATAATAATTTATCATTAAGAATTTACTATGGTGTTGGCACTTTATGTTCTTTATTTCATTCAATCCTCATTACAGCTTCTTAGGGAAACATTTCCTTTTTCCTTACAAATGTGGAAGCGGGGGTCAGTGAGGCTAAAGTGCTTCCCTAGGACCACACTGCTGTTGCGTGAGGGAGATGAGATTTGAGCTGACGTCGATCTAGTTCCAAAGCTTCTCTTCCTTCTTCTGATGCACAGAGCCATTTTAATCATGACGTGGAAACTGAATCATTAAATACATCAAACCCTCAGATATAATGTTACTCTTCAAGCCAGAAAATTAGAAATAAAAGGCTGTACTTCCCCAGGTTTGTACAGAGGACTCATGAGGAAGTTCATGGGGTGGTAACAAACATACTGCCTTTACTTCCCTGCAGGTAAAATTGGTAATGTGGCTGTGGACCTCTGAGTTAAGAAGCCATGCATCTCTGTGATAGGTCATACTGTTTTCCTAATTTCTATCATGGAATTATTATCAGCAAAAATATAATATCTAAATTTTAATATCTCTTTTGCCCATAAAGTATAATTACGCATTAATCAATATATGAAAACCAAAGTAGATTCACAAGTGCTACAAAATCAGTGTTTCAATTTTCCTAATAGTTAATTGTTTAAGGTTAATTGTTAAGACCAAATGCTCAGCCTTGTTGCTAAAAATACATGAGCTTTGAACCTGCGAGCAATTCCTGTACATTTCTGATTTTGTTTCTGACTGGGTGGATAAACCTAGATATGTTTACATCTCTGAAAGCAGGATCCCTAGCAACCCTAGACAGACTGAAGATATTCACCATTATTCTATGGAAAATATAAACTAAACTCCTTCTCCAGAGATCATGTTGGTCTCTGATCTTTGTAGGCTTATCAGGGGAAACATTAAGAAAGTTTATCACAGTACCTTTGATATATAGTGATTTCTGTAAAAATATGAATGAAAACATCACTAATTACCCCAATTATTTTAGCAACTAATCTTATTATTTTACAAACCTCTGCATGATTGAATATATAAAAATAATTCTGAGTAATTTAACACATTAGATAGTTATCGCTAAGTTGCATATTTTGCTTCACCAAGTCAGAGCAGCATTAATCTTTTATAATTTCTAAGGTAAAACAAATCTACCTCCCATAACTAATTGGAAAAAAATGTGCCTTATTTTCTCATTCATTGTACACTGGTTAACTCAATTAACTGCTGATTCTGAATACCCTAAAGCTAATTGTTTTCATTTGAAGCAACTGCTGTAAAATATTTTATAAAAATTACTTGAGATGCTTGCAATTCTATCTTTCATGTCAGTTCATGTGAAATTTTTCAATGGTCTTCTCAGAAACATATGAATATATGAATCTCTCTCTGTCTCTGTCTGTCTGTCTGTCTCTCTCTCTCTCTCTATATATATACATATATATATCTGACTGAGAAAGTGACCCAGAACCCACTGTGAAGGCTAAGAGGTAATTTTAATTTCTTTATGTACCTAAACAGACTTTTAAATGCATTTCATTATTAGTCTTATATAAATTATTATTACGTACCATATATTATATGATAATCAGGACCTGGTTTATATTGTGCAAATAACCATAGCTAGTAATGGCAACATTTTACATTGTATTATAGTAGTATGCAAGAATTTATAGTAATGGTTCATATTATATAAAAAATATTACATTGCAATTATAATAATTTGTATTACAATAACATAATAATGTCATCATCATTTTGTATATAAATAATAATAATGACTTACTGTAAGATACATTGTAATTATAATTGCATGATAGGTTACAGAGTGATAATAACAAGACATTCTAGATTTTAAATGACCTATTTATAAATGACATGATGACTGTATTGATGACAAAGTACCTTAAGAGAGGGGAAGCACCTGGGGGAAAGATGTGGATATTGAGACCCAAATCCCTAATGGTAACTTAAAATTGTACATGATGTTGGATAATTCCCTATTTCTTCTGTCACATTCCTTGGTCATAAACCAAACTCCTTTGTGTAACATAATTTATTTAAAAATATAAGGTGATATAATTGTATCCAAATGTAATTTAGTTCAAAGAATATTTTTGTTTTGCTGGACGTTGTTCTTGGAGCATCCTAAACACGTACATCTGCATTGGGTAATTAAAGACGTCCCCTTCACACATGCATAGCTGTCCTTCAATCGCCAGTCACTCTTTTTACCTTTGAGAAGTCTTCATGTACACATTTGGAGTAGCACATACATTTTTTTCTTTTGAGTAGTATACAAAGGGTGATCAAAAAATATGATGTGTCTTTAAATAAATTTTGTAACAGTAGAAGACACAGTGCGATTAATCCCCCTTAAAACACTTCCATCTTCGTTGCAACTTTCTGAAGCAGATCTGGAAGTCCTCTTTCACGAGTGTGCGATAAAAAATGTGATGAAGGCTGTTGCTCCTTTCCAAGGGAAAGTTGGGCTTCTAAAGACATGACGCTGTGTTTTCATCCACTTAGGTCACCGGGTCTGGCCCTGTGTGACCTTGGCTCTTCCCTGATGTCAAAATGACCATGAAAGGGAAATGCTTTGCACCGATGTAGGTCACTGAGGTACCCACCCCGGCACCAGCAGACACTCACGGAAGACGACTTCCAGCACTGCTTTAGGAAGCAGCAGGAACAACCGTAGAAGCATTTTCAAAGCAAGGGGGAGGGCTCTGAGGGGTTCATGACAATGGCTGCTTTACTGTAATAAATTTTTAAAAATTTAAATCTTGACCATATTTTGTATCACACTGTGCATGTGTGTGCATACATTGCTGCCAATACTGGCTTCATCTACAATATTTACATGTGGTGAAGGCGTTGCTCCTGAGAGGTCAAGAGTGGCTTCACCATCTGTCACAAAGAAAGGCTCCTCTATCATATTAGGAAATAAAAAATGTTAGACAATTTAAAGGCAAAGCTATGTTTGTAAGCGAAGACTCACATTTTGTCGGTGATGTTTCGCACCCATTCCTGTCTCCGGAACTCCTCCCTGGCCCGCTTTATCTCATCCACTGGCTGTGCCACTCGCAGCGTGGGCTCCAAAGGCTTGTAGCGCTGCTCTAACACTTCACTGATATTTCGGAAGGGCCCCTGAGAAGACCAAGGAGACACAGACTTCACTATGGAAGACTTTTTTTGACTTAGTCTTGACAACAAGGCTAGTGAGTGTCTACAAAGTATAGCATGTTTACTAGTTGTTTTTAGGTGTAATTGGTTCTTCTTTGAGTTAGGAAATACAAAAACAAGACTAACATTTATAGTCAAGAAATGTGACTTCAAGTAAAATTGAGTACGTTAAAAATTTTCAGACTAAGCAGAAATTTCCTGAGTTATATGAAAAGATTTTCATGCTTTAACTCGCAAACCTATACATGGTTTTGTTTACCAACTTTCCAAAGAACTTTTCTTCTAATACAACTTAAATACAGTTCTCTTCCTTTTAAGGAAAATATTGGAAAATGACTTTGAGCACAGCTTTTCAAGCGCCTACCTATAAACAGAAAGAGGGGAGCAGGTGGGTTTTTTCATTGAATTAAAGCTTTTAAATCAATGACAATTTTTAGATTACATGTGTGGCCACCGACATAGAGAAAGCCCAAAATTTTAACATATTGTAGTGTCTTCAGTTATGCTAACTTCTGTCTTTCCATTACTCTGGAACCAAAAGCAGCCTTTTTATGACATAAATACATGACAGTATGAAGGGACTTAATATCTCTTGCTTTTAAGGTAGTAGTTACTTATCCTAGTTAGTAGAATCCGCTAGTTGTCTAATTACTATCACATCACACACACGAGGAATCACAGGCAGCTCATGATTCTGCGGGGCTGTGAACCCCGTATCACTTTCTTTCTTTGCCTCTGTTGGGCCAGAGAGAAGTGATACAAAATGAAGATTTCCTCTGACTTCTTCTTCTTCAAAGTCTGTTCTTTCGATAGGTTATCACTAACAAGGCACAGCTGGAGACACAGCGAGCTCTGAGTAAAGATGGTGGGGCTAATAAAAAGAAATGATTCACGCCTCATTTATGTTCACTTATGTTTTACATTAATAGAAACCAATAATAGGAACCAGTTACCATAAAAGTCATGGACCGTAAATAACACAAATGGCAAATAAGTATCATCTAGTACTTTTCACAGCTGGACATGAGAATTGTGATATTTGAAAGTAGTTAATGGATTTTTATTGGAACTTTACTTTTTAAAGATACAGACACATGATTCCAGATCTGCTATTAAGAAACTAATTTTTTTTTAGTAGATTCATTTTCTCAGATTCTATGGTTTAAAAGAATTAATATGTAGTTGTGCAGCTAGGCCTATTTTCATATGTAGAGTGGCATAACATCTATACTGCAGAACTGCTCTCCTGTAGGAGACAGTAACACTCGTAGCATTTACTCAGGAACAGTAAACACATAAACATGGTGCTGAGGGTGCCACTCTTCCTATTATTATTCTTATTATTAGTTCAAGCAGAGTGTAAAAAGGATTTGAACAGTAGTAGCATCAAAAAGCAAGAGAGCCAGAGGTGATGGCGCACACCTGTAACCCCAGCAACTGGGAGGATGAGGCAGGAAGCGCTCCCCAATCAAGACCACGTGGGCTGCGTAATAAGTTCAAGGTCAGCCTGAAATAATAGTGAGATCCTGTCTCAAAAAGAAAACAAAAAAGAAATAAAAGAGCTGTCCAAGCTATGACTTTGAAGAAGCCAGCATCCACAGGGAGTGATGGTATTCTCAGAGGCCACGCTTTGTCCTCTAACGTACTGACATAGGAACATGGACACACCTCACTTGAGACATACCTTACTCTCTGGTCTAGGACTCACTAATCTCAATAAAAACAGGAAGTGAAAGAAAAGGAGCCTTGCTGAAGCAGCAACTTAGAATGAAAATAGCTGTGATCTACTGGGTTCACCGTCCAGGTCCCTGCTGTCATGCCCATGCCCCTGTGTCTGTCAGGACAGTCAGCATCCCATCCATGAGCAAATTAGTCCCTCACCTTGAATGAGGACGTTTCTCTTTTGGCAAAGCTGTGCTAGTTTGTATTTCCTTTGATATCCTGGGATCACACGATCATAGGGTGATCCCTCTGGCATGCAATCCCAGATTTTAGAAACAAACTTTAGATCTGCAAACTTTAGATCTATTCATTGTGCTCATTTCCAACGATTAATCTCTAGGATCCGTAGGCCACCCAGTACTCGTGACTCTACCTGTCTTTTTGGACTCTTAGCTTAGTACAAGTGTCCAATACATTGAAGAAATCGCCCGGCCAGTACGGTACTCTGTTTATTTTCACTTGGGCACAATTTTAAATGTCTTCAGTGATGTACTGAGCTTTTTCTTAATTAGGTAACACATAGGAATGTGGAGCAGTCAAACAAAACAACATAAAACACCCCCATTCTGTGAAAGCAAAAAGAAAGAAAGGAACCAGGAAGGAAGGAAAGCACAGACAAAAGGTATAAGGAAGCAAAGGACAAAAAGAAAAAAGAAGAAAGGGAAAAACCAGAAATGACAGGATGCTAGGATAGGGTCAGAGCATGAGAAGGAGGAAGACGATATGGGAAGGAAGGAGACAGGGAAAGAAGAAAAGAGAGGAAAAAATGGGAAAGAGAATAAGGGAAGAGGAAATAGAGAAGGAAGGAATATACTAGCAGAGATCATTTTATGGCATGCCAAATAAATATGATTTATCAGTGTATGTGTACATGCACATATACATGTAGGAGACAGTAACACTCGTAGTATTTACTCAGGAACAGTAAACACATAAACATGGTGCTGAGGGTGCCACTGTTCCTATTATTATTCTTATTATTAGTTCAAGCAGAGTGTAAAAAGGATTTGAACAGTAGTAGCATCAAAAAGCAAAAGAGCCAGAGGTGATGGCGCACACCTGTAATCCCAGCAATTGGGAGGATGAGGCAGGAAGTGCTCCCCAATCAAGACCATGTGGGCTGCATAATAAGTTATGCATTATTCCCTACATAAACATATTTTTTTCTCTCCACATATTTCCTTTTCTATACATATCTATATATAGGTACTATATAATTGTATATTTTTCCTTTTTTATATATGTACTATATATGCATATATATCTTTCATATGGATATTGACTATATATACATTTATATATCTGTACTTTGTTTTCTCATATATTCCATATATGCATACATATTTTCCACATGGATACATGACCATATACACCCTTTATACATAAATATTCATATAAATATACAATACCTAAATATATCTTTTATCTACCCATCTTCTAACCATGCATTCCTAAGATGCAAAGTGCACAGTGTACACAAACACATGTCCATGGGAGGGGGAAAGCTGTGCAAGAAATAACAATGCTGTACTGAGAAAAGTGTGGCAATAGAGATGAAAAGTCAATAAAACACATACAGAGGAGAACACTTCAAAAAAGTACAAGAAAAGCAAAGCAGTAAGCAAATGTGAAAACACTGTAAGACACCTGTAAAATAATACTAAACAGTTAAAGCTGTGCATATTGTACACTGCAGTAGTTTGCAGCACATGATTATCAGGGTATTCCCAACTTACTTTATTCATACCATGTAATTTCCCCATTTCCTAAAAAGCTGCATAAAATCTATGAATTCCATGCAGTATCAGTAGCTATCTCAATAAATACAACATGCAATGTGAATTATTAAATATTCAAAATGTGGTGTTCTGCCTAATACCTCAACAACCACTGGGTGCTTAATATCTGTATATTTAAAAATTGAACACTTAATATACAAGCAACAGAAGTACTAAATCATTTTCTTTATAGAATAATAAATTTAATTACTTATTTTGATCATTTACATAAAAACCATTCCTTACTCTAATAGAGATAAATAGCAATGTGGATAACTCAAAATGGTAACGATTCAGCTACTCATAAAATGTATTTTAAATTTGCATTTAAACTATGTTCAATGCCTAATTAGGATATTGGTATAACTTATTTAAGAGGGATACAACTGTCCTCTGAATACATGTTTCCAAACGAACTGGAAATTCTTCCACACGCTTTCATCCTGTGGCCCACCTCCTCTCTGCCTTGCTATGGTTTAGATGTGGTTTGTACCAAGGATTGACGCACTGGAAGCTTGGTCCCCAAAATAATGGCATTAAGTAGAGTAGGGTCCCAAAAGACTTCTAGATTTAATAACCAAATTCAGTAGCGTAGCTGGATACAAAGTCAACCCAAAATAAATAGCATTCTTGTACACAAACAACAAACTCACTAAGACAGAAATTAGGGAAACCACACCCTTCACAATAGCATCCAAAAAACTGAAATACTTAGGAATCAATCTAACAAAGGAAGTAAAGGATCTATATATTGAAAATTACAGTACTCTGAAAAAGGAGATTGAAGAGGGTATTAGAAAATGGAAAGTTATCCCTTGTTCATGAGTAGGAAAAACCAACATAGTGAAAATGGCCATACTCCCAAAATTGTTACACAGATTTCATGCAATCCAAATCAAAATACTATTAGCACACCTAACAGAAATAGAGAAAACAATCCTAAAATTCATTTGGAATCAGAAGAGACCTAGAATAGCAAAGGCAATCCTGGGCAACAAAGGCAAGGCAGGAGGAATCACAATTCCTGACTTGAAAATGTACTACGAAGCTACTGTGACAAAATCAGCATGATGCTGACAAAACAACAAACCTGAGGGCAAGTGGAACACAATAGAAGGTGCAGACACAACTACAGACACCCTCAACCACCTTATCTTGAACAAAACGGGCCAAACATGTTCACTGGAAGAAAGATTGCCTTTGTAATAAATGGTGCTGGAAAAACTGGCTCTCCACATGCCGAAGATTAAAAGTAGACCCATGTCTATCACCATGCACTAAAGTCAAAATGGATCGAAGATCTAAATATTAAAACAGAAACACTAAATCTATTGGAAAAGAAAGTGAGTAGAAATCTTGCAGACATAAGCACAGCACAATTTGTAATAGCTACACCTTGGAAACAACTCAAATGCCCATCAACTGAGGAAGGAATTAAAATGATGAGGTATTTTTATACAACAGAGCATTCCTTGGCCATAAAGAAGGAGAAATTCAAGGCTTTTATGGGTAAATGGATGTAACTTGAGACCATATTCCTAAGTGAAATAAATCAGACTCACATGTGTAAACACTGTATTGTCTCCCTTGTGTGAGAATTTGAAAGAGTAAATAAGGTCTAAAAGGTACCACAGATACTGTGAAATGGGAAGAAATTGTTCAATAGGAAAAAGAAACTAGGATAGGTGAAAGGGGAAGGGACAGTAGGGAAAAGGGAAAAACTCCAAGTCAGTTATATTATTAGTGTTTCTTAATTCATTAAAAAGGAAGGTGTGTGATAATATCGATGGGAGAAATTTTTATGCCGATATCTTGTACCCTGAGCAACTACTTTAAAGATGACAAATATAACAACCACTGGTGAATTCCTACCATCTTATTTAGTATAGCTCAGTATCATGTCTAATTTTTTTTGTATTATTTATATTCTCTTTATTTATTTCATCAATTTTGGCATTCTTATATTTGGTAATCTGAGCAACTTTGTTGAAGATAACAATATGTAATATAAAAACTGTTGTTAATTCCTGTTATCTTGTTTTCAAATTTGGTATCATTTTCATTGTTTTTGTGTTGTTTTGCCTTTGTTGTTATTTTGCCAGCTTTTCTCTTTAAAATAAAAAAATGTAATGCATGAACTACTGTTATTCTCCTATTATTTTGTTATGAAATTTTGTTTTATCTTTTTTCCATAAAAAAGAAGGATGGGTCATTGTGACTTGGGTGTGTGGCAGGTGTTGGATCACTAACAGCACCATCCTCACGAGGGATCAATGCTGCTATGATGTGACGGCATCTCGTGAGTTCGATCCCTTCCCACACAGCCCCTCCCTCCCCATTGTCTGTCCTGTGGCCATGTAGCCATGGATTCCTTCACCTGAACCCAAACAGACTGAGCTGCTTGATGTTGGACTACCAGCCTCCAGAACTGTGAATTCAATAAACCTCTCTTCTTTTTACGGTACTCAGCCTCGGGTATTTTGTTATTTATATATGCCTGTCAGTGTATTTCAGAAAGAGAAGGATGCATCAGCTTCTATGTATTATTTAGATACACTGATTAGTTTAAAGGTAATCTAAAATACTGGTGTAGATGTGATTCTGAAGGCATCAGAGGAAAATCAGAAAATTGTTCAGGGGAAAAACAAGATATCATAAATAATTGTGGGAGAGTGGGCAAATTTCTATTGTCAGACAATGCATGCCGTCTGGCTGTGGGGCCAGCTCAATGTTGGAGTGTGAGTAGCAGTCTCCATGGGGTCCCAGCCACCTCTGCCTTCTAATACCCATGGCTTTGCATAATCTCTTATACTGAATGTGAAACTGGTTTCTTCTATTTCTAACAAAAGAAATAGGGAAAAGGTGATAGGAGATCACTCCTGCCCTTAAATTCTAAAAACCTCGGTAGTTAACTTTGTTTTAGAATGTCTCTAATTCTCAAACCCAAGTTATGCTTAAAATGGTATAAAAAGATGTAGGTCATCAGCAGGACAGGGCTTTGATTAAATAAATATGATAATATACGAACAGTTTTACATCCAAAACAGATTGTAGCAAATAGTTTATAACATTTTTACATCAAAGCTCTAGAATTTAGGCCAAACCCACCTTTTAATTTTATATTGAGCACAACAAATTCAACACAAAAGGAGCATTAGCTTAGTTCCCTACATGCATGTTAAGGATAACATTTATTCTTTAAAATTAGCTTTTTATAAGAAATAATTTTCTCTCATCATGAATTTTAAAAAATAATTGAATTGCAAGATAGTAGCTATAGCATAAAAACATTTACCTGCAAAATAGTAAGAAATACTTGGAAATCACATATCTATAAGGTAGTAATATCCAGAATATATACAGAACTCCTAATACTCAACAACAAAATCAATCCAAACATAGGTGGAGGGCTCTGACAGACATTTTTCCAAAAAAGATCCAGAAATGACCAATAAGAATATAAAAAGATAGTGAACACCAGAGTGGTGAAGGAAATGCAAGTCAAACTGCAAAGGGATCCCACGCCACATCCTTTAGGATAACAATCAAAGACCAGAGAATCATAAATGCAGGCAAAGATATAAAGAAATGGGAGCACTTGCGCACTGTGGACGGGAAAGGAAAATGGTATAGCCACTATAGAAAACAGTAAAAATTAAAAAAACTACCCAGTGATCTGGCACTTCCACTAAGATAGATTCTCAGAAGAAACAGAGTATTGTTGGTGCCTTGTTCACAGCAGCTAAAACATGGCAATAACCCACTGTCTATGGACAAATGAATAAACAAATTGTGATATGCACGCATAGTGGGGCTCGGTCTGATAAAAGAAAGGAATTCTCCTTCCTGTATTTGCCTGATATATGCTACAGCTTGGCTGAAACTTAAGACCATGATGCTAAAAGAGATATGCCATAACAAGTAGGAGAAAGGAAATGGGGGTGGTGTCCTGGAGCATGGAGTTTGGTTTTCCAAGATGAAAAGAATTCAGAGGTCAGATAGTGCTGATGGTTGCAGAATAATATAAAGTACTCAATGCCACTGAAATGCACTCTTAAGAGTGGTGGTGGTAGCAAACTTTATGCACTGCATATCCTACCACAAATAAAGGGGAAAAGGCAAGAACAGCATTAGTGACAAAGTTCTTACAGGTCTAATGAGTACCTGACAGGGCTTCCTATCAATAGGAGGCAGGATATCCGACTGAGGGAATGAACGAGCACTGGTGCAGGCCAGCCAGTTGGCCAGGCCAGCACTGGGCTTTGGCCCAACTCTCCGTCTCCGGGAAACCAAAGGCTTTGCCTTCTGCAGCTGCAGCTCCCAAGGATCCGGTTCTTTTCTGAACGGTGAGTTGTATATACCTGGAATCTACAGCAGAAGAGAGCAGATTTAGTTGCTTTGATTTACCTGTGATTTTCATATAGAAAATAAGAAGGTAAAGTTGTACCCTGTACACTTTCATACATTTAAGGAGTCTTTAAATTACCACGTGGCTTCTTACTCAGAAGTGGACCTCAGATTCATTTCTGAAGACGTCACAAAATGTTCACACCCATTCTACAACAACATTAGCATCTCTCAAGACTGAACAGTAAACACATTAAAAACCACTGAGCTGTAGTTTCTATCCACCATGCAATGCATGCTTATGCAACTGCAAAAAAATAATAGAGCCGTAAGCCACTCACTTCATACTGTACCCATATGTTACTGTATTTAACTGTACCTGTACGTTGCAGTTTCATTACAGGAGGTGAAAACGCATAATGCTCTAGCCACTTTGGGTATAAAGTTTGTACTCAGTACACATTTGGTTATTTGAATTATGAATAATTACATATCCTAATGATAGTTGTTCTAAGTCCTATACTTTGATAGTCAAAGTCCTGTCACATATGCATGGTATATTAGCTATGACTCAAAATTACACCCTGCATCCATGAGCGTGTTAGGTGCTATACTTCTGTAGTGTAATGCTGCCCTTTCGGTTCTATCATCCACAATGTGACACATTGCCTCAAAATAGTTCAGATCTACTTAGTACAACCTCTGTTCTATTACTGAGTTCTATAGACAGGTATGACAAACGCTAAATTCAAGATTAGCAGATGTCTGTTTCCCTAAAACCTGATGTTACTGATAAAAGCATAATTTGGTGATATTTGATTTCCACCGAACCAAAATCAAATATACATATACATATTTATAAATATATTTCTGTATGCATAAGTACATACATGCATGTGCATATTCAAAGGCAAAAGTTACATTTCAAAAGTTAGTGTGAGTTATGTGGTTACTCGGTAGATACTCTGGAGTATATAAACAATATATCTATTAAAGTCTATCTGCTCTTCCTCAAAAGTGCATTTCTTCTAGGCCACTGTCATATGGATAAATACTCTTGACTATATTTACTTCAGTAATTCCAAAATATTAAAATTAATCCGGATAGCAGTCTTTGAAAATCTACCCCAAAAATTTATATTTCCAATCTAATACTTCAGTAACTGTGAATATCAATTCAGGCTAGATTCAATGTCCTCACTTTAATGTTTCCTTAATAATTTGGGACTATCTCCACCACAGCACCTATTACATTGTTTCAGAGTTTGTATGTGTATCCTGCTTCCTATAAGCAAGCAGCTGGAGCACAGGGGTTTGTTCTGTTTCTGATAGACTTTGCAGCCACGCCTAGCAGAGAGCTAGTCACATAGCAGGTACTTAATACAAAGGGCGATCAAAATATACAGTGTGTTTAAATTTAAAAGAAACTATCACAGTAAAAGAAATATTGCCATTAATCCCTCCATTCTGGTAAATCTGGATGTCCCTCCCAAAGCCTCATACACTCATAGGTAGAGCTTTGGGAGTGACTGGATCATGGGTGTGATACTGGATCAGTTCACTGGTTTAGCATAAATCTGGGTATGGATGCTGGATTTGCTCAAGAGGAAAGACCGACCCTGGGTGTGCGTGTGGTGTGACACCAACCAATAGTCTTGCAGCCTAGGTGGAATAAGAAGGGAAAGAAGGAAGGCTCACCTCCCGCCTGGCATGCTGGGAACTATTTCCCCACGGCAACGTCTATCTGCTGTGGCACCCTCAGAGCCAGCCAACTAGGAACTGAAACCTTTACAAACTGTGAGCTGAAATAGACTTCTCCTCTGACTTGTTAGGTGTCTGTTATTTTGTCCTAGCAATAAAAAAGTAACTAAGATACCCCCTCGAAATACTCCTACCTTTGAGCACACTCATTCCATCATTCTTCCCACTCTCTGGAGCAGTTCTGGAAGTCACCTTTGTGCATGTCTTTATGAGGAGTGATAAAAATACTGTGAATGCTGCTTCCAAATGCCATCCAACAGAAAGGCAGGCTCAACAAAACATTACAGTGTGTCTTCATCTGCCTTTTCATGATATCTGTCACTATGTGACTACTGGCTCTCCCCCAAAATCAAAATGACCATGAAAGGTCAATGTTTTGAATCCATTCTGGACATCAAGGCAGCTGTGGAAGTACAACTAAGACATTTATGAAGGAAGATTTACAGTACTTCTTTGAAAAGTAGCATCAATGACAGGTACAAGTGTTGAAAATGGAGGGGAATATTTTGAGAGGGATTAATGGCAATTAGTGTTTTACTATATTTTTAAAAAAGTTTAAACATTGACATTATTACCACATCTGACAGACAAATAAATGCTCCTCTACAACAACAATGTGCAGTTCAGAAGAGCCCATAAAGCTATTTTAGTGTTGCTTTCAAAAGCCATGTAAACGTCTGAGGAAAATATTTGAGATTTATTTCAAAGTCTTATTGACTGATTTCAAGGAATTTACAGATTAGCTACTCTTCCCTTTCTTAGCATATCAGTTTTATCTTTAAGGACATTGTGATGTAGAAGTAAATTATCATAGACCCATCTGATTCACCTCTAACTCATGTTTTCCTATTTCATAATTTGGAGCTAAATTTCATTGTATATAAAAGTCAGTGAAAATCATTTAGTATATTTAAAATTATCTTGGAACTGGTTTTTGAGATTTACTCCCTGCTATGATTAATACAAGGAAAAATATTATCCTGAAAAATATTAAAAGGCAGTTATATAAAGTATTTTTAATATCATATACACATTATCTCACTATCACAATAAATATACATAAAGTGACTACATAGTTTAAATTAATGTTAATGAAAGAAAATACATACACATATATTTACAATAGGTTTCAGTGGATAGTGATTTTTAAGATGATTTTTAGACTGATTTTCTAAGATGACAACGTACGATTTTAATAAGAAAAAACAATAAATGTTAGATTAAAAGATTTTTCTGGCTAAAATGTAACTAAACCATCTGGTTAGTGATGATCTAATTAAGTGAAGTCTGTTAGTTTATTAATAAAATTTTCATAACCTTACAAATTAAAAATGGTAAAATACATACAATTCAACTAGATTATAATTTATCATTTAAAAATATCTGTCTGCCTGAACAATTACTACCAACTGTTAACTTTACCCCATTAGGAATCTTGATTCCTTCCACATCTGCGTTCACATGTATACATGGGCTAGATGGGAAATGCAAATTGATCGGTAGACATGATAGCTCTCTTAAATTATATTTTGCAACCTATACGGAGACCTCCTCATGTGTATTCTCATTGCAATTTAAATCAAATATAGATAGAAAATATATTTTAATTGAATTTCAAATGTATCCCTTAAAATCTTCAAGGGTGTCAGTATTTTAGACATTAATGGAACACATTTGCTGATGTACATCAATAAAAACAATCCAGCATTCCCTCAATACACATAGCAGGCAAATACACTATTTATTCATATTTTTAGTCATTTAATTCTTATTTCTTTAAGCAAAGAAAACAACCTACACGTACTCTTGTCTCAATTGATGTATTTCCTAATTTCTAAACCACTCACAAATAATGGTTTGTGGTTGATTTTTCCACATATCGTCATGAGTCACACAAGGCAGAGAGAACCCCAGGGACCATGACATATTTTCCAGTTTTCACATTTTTCACGACTCAGAGGGGCAGTAGCCGAGCTAGCTTTGGGGACTTCATTTCCAGCAATAATTTTCTGGAGTGACCAACACTATGGGGAAATCCGTGCTAACTGTTTGAAAAAAAGAAACGAAGAAAAAGCCTACAACTGAGTTATTTGCAGGACTGTCATGCTAACATTCAACTCAACAGGACCCAGGAACTCTCAGGAGAGGGCTCTGCTAATAGCTTCTCGCTGACCTCCATGCGTTGGGCCGGGCTGCCGACTGCCGGCCCAGCGGTGAGAACGGTAAATGAGGTGTGAAAGCACTGATTTTTTTTAAAGCCTATGATTCTGACTCTTCAAAAGGAAAAAAAAGGCAATGAGTTATATAATAGATATATATTTTTCTTGAATTCTTCCCTTCAGCCCCTCCATCATGGGAACTTAAGCATGACCTAGAATATTAATTATGTCAGGCTGAGCGATGAGCAAATGTACCATTTGTTACCCAGTCACCCTTAGCATTACATTAATATTTTGAACCATTCCATATTTTTAACAATCTATCAGTTGGCTTTTTTCTTCTCAGCTGATTCTAACACACAAGTATGATATGGAAAAGTATTTGAACGTGCAACTAACTTGAAAACAAATGGACATGCTGATTATATTTACAGCATCTACTGTTTTATTTCACAAAGAGTATTTTCACGGCCATTTTCCACTCGTACACTGACCTTTATTTTGTAATTGCCTGGGGGAAGCTGTAGTGTAATGCTTTTCTCCTCTCTTTGTTATTGGTTCTAGTTTAAAAACATATTCCCATAAAATAGGAAGAATGTGAAACAGGATTAAGTGTAACTATAATCTCCAAACCATAATTACTAATGTTTCAATTTCATATTGTATCACATGAGAAATAGTTACTTCTCATAATTTAAAAGTAGGCTTACCCCAGGAATAAAAAACAGGTACGTACATAAGTATACAGGGTAGGCAGAAGAATGCAACTTTTACTTTTGAAAGTGACAGTTATACAGTAAACAGAGGCCATGGATTGCCATGAAAAGAAACAAAATTTTAAACTCTGTTCATGCCTCTTGATTAAAAATTTGTGAATTTGTAAGAGATAAACAGTTCCAAAAGGAAGCCTAGCTAAATTGTGCATGTCCTAAGATTTAAGCAAATATGTTTTTCAAAAACAAGAAATTAAGGAAGAAGAGAAGAGTTGTAAAATCTCTAACGTCTAGGAAGGGAAAAGTGGGCCAGAGAACTGTGAATGAGATAATTTTGAGAGTAGGGACTGCTGAATCAACACTGACCAGTGCACTTCATCATAATTAT